ACTGTAGTTGAAAGATGGATTTCATCACTGGAAACTTTCCGCACTGGGCCATGAAAAGCAAGCAAATTATGAGTAGGTTTATATTTCATGGCTTGGTGCTTCCAATCTTCTGAATAAAGTCACGCTCTGGATACATTCACTGCAAATTTCTGAATCAAATGTGTTGTATCAGTTAAATAAAAATATATTCCAATTGCTCATCTAGGCAAAGGAATAAAGTGCTGAAGAGTGGCTAGTTTTGTGCAATGGTTGCTCTCAGAATCACTCTTAGTTTAGAAAAATACTCTTGTTTTGGAGCTGTATCATTAAAGCTGTGGTAGCAGTTTAGCACTGATGGTTGTGGAATAAAAATAAAATTCAAGTTGAATGATTATTATCAAGGGAGAATAATTTGCGTTGTCTTTGGAAGCTATCTTAACTCTTGATTTTTAAGCTAATGAACATTGATTGCAGTTGAGATGGTTTTAACAGCTTAAAGAATTGTAAAAAGTTTGGTGCTCTCAACAAGATTGCTTAATACTACTGGGAGCTGTTCTAGTTTTCTTTGGGTTTTTTTTTTTTTCCAAGCTGGATTTGAACAGGATCCGTGGCTTTTCACAGCTTCTGTTGTTATGTCTCACTGGTTTGTGCTCCCTCCTAGAAAGCATATAGAAAAATACTATTGGAGTGGCTTAATTTGCAGTTGGATCTCAGGTGTCAGTCACAAATCCTGCAGGTGCAACATGCTGTGATTCATGAATGGTTCTCAGAAGGTGGCCATTCTTAGAGGGGAGGAGGCTGTGAGAGTAAAATAACTGTCTGGGTGTTTGCAGGCTTTTTTTCTTAACTCATAGATTTTTGAAAAAACATAGATTAGAAATAAGAAGATGTACCTTCTTTGTATTCCATGCTTTAAGACTGTCAATTTATAGCTAAAGCTTATAGCTGAAGTCTATTAATGCACATTTTTTCTAAAAATCCCATTAAAAAGATGATTTTGCTAAATTTTCTGAAAGTAAAAATAAGCTGTTCTGACATCTACTGCTTTTAATACGAATGGGATAAAAGTCTATTTCAGAAACCCTAAAATCCATGTGATGTGACAAGTTTTTAAAGCAGTTTCCAACATCTGAAATCATAGAACTATCTAATGACTTTGATCTTGTTCATTAAGTAATGAAAGCTTTATGAACAGTTCTACTTGAATAGTGTGTTTCTGACAGTTTTGTGTCTCTTATGTCCATGTGTTTATTGCTTTTTTTTTGAAGTGGTTTATTGGAAGTTGTTTGGCAGGTATTTCTGCATTAGTAGTACATCACTACCTGCAATAGAACTAGATCACTCTTGTAGAAGAGAACTCGTGAAGGCTCTACCAGATAAGCCATGGTGTTAATATAGGACTTCCCCGTTTTTCCCTCTGATTACCACCCCCTCTACCAGCCACCTTGGATCAGCAGCGGATCTGCCTGAGTTCGGAGAGCAGGGAAGCAAATGGCAAGGAACAGTTTTTGAATACGTACACTTAAATTCTCCAGAGCTTGTTTATCGCAGCTGTAAGGTATTATATGCTGGGATTTTTTTAAACACAGAGCATAACGGTGTGGTGAAAGTTTGTGCTGCTTAGGATTCTCCCAGTGAAGATCCAGAAGATTTCTACTGATACCTGTTTTGTTTCCCAATGCTTCTATGTTACAGGAACATATGATCTTCATCTTTATGGAAAGAGATAGTGAATCATGAAAGAGGATAATGGTTTCATAAAGATCATGAGCCAAGTCTGTTCAAAGCCAGGAACAGGAAATAGTTTTTCTAGTTTCTAATTCTGCATCTTAGCTCCTTCTGTTGTTTTTATTCCCTTTGGATCGGTTTGGACCTAAACTGTTTTGGTCATATTGGGCTGTTTGGAATGCTCTACTCTAACCACAGAATTTTTTTTAATCTGTGAAAAGTAATCCTACTTCTGTCTGAAACACTGTAGTCAAGCTGCTTCCTGCCTATTGTTTGATAGAAAGTCCTATGGTAAATACTGAGCCTGTTTGCAGAGGGGTGTGATGCCGTTTTTGCGACACTAGAGTGATACTGGCTTCTCAGCAAACTAATTTAGAACATAATGTTCCAGCAAAATACATAGACATCAACAGTAACAATAGAAATACTGTGCCTCCATTCATAGTTATCTGGTTATGAAGATGTGCGCTGCAATACACAGCTCCAGATTCCATGCCAAACTTCCATGTAGAATGCTAATTCGAATGGGTCTGAGCCTGTTTTCTTTAAAAGATAGCAGACTTAGTATTTACTTAAAAACAAGCAAAACACTACATAACCTAAATATCAGTAGTCTCTTTCTATAAATTAACTGGAGAAAACACCCAGCCTCATAGTGTAATCTATCAAGCACTGGCATGGACCTCTGGGTACTGTCATTCTCCTATTTTGTTGCTTTATCTTTGAAGAGGCTGCTTTGACCTTTCCAGTTGCTTGGTGTGATACTGCCTTTTACCCACTGGTACTTTACTTAATGTAGCAGATGATAGCACACAAATCTCATCTGAAGATAGCAAGTCAGAGCTGCATTTTGTCATATATTCTTCTGATTTGATGCCTACTGCCTTGTTTTGTCTCTGATACCATGGAACTTTTTCTGTTAACAGACCTTTAAAATAGTACTCTCTTCACAAATGTATTCAGTGGTGTTTACTGTTTAATAGTTAATATTGCTGCTATAACTGTGAAGCAATTGTTTCTTTGGGCAATTAAGGCAAAATAAATACTTGTAGCTGTTATGACAAAATGAAATCACACTAGTAGTATGGAATTATCCTTGCAGTGTAATTCCACACCTTGGGTAAAAATAATTCTATAGCAGCAGTTGAAGTTGTCCCTTTAGAGCAGTAAAAATGCTTGTGGGTTCTTTGTCCTTGTGGTTGAAAAGGTGATGTTATTTCTGTTATTCTCTTGACAGAAAGATTGCAGCACCTTCAACAACAGTTAGTGGAATCTGAGCGCAGAGCCATGACCTACCTGAAACGATTTAACGAAATGCAGGCGGACTACCATAACCTTATTGGAGTCACTGCAGAGCTGGTGGATTCCTTAGAGGCCACAGTCAATGGCAAGATGGTAAGAGATGACTCAGGTGTGTACTTGCTTCCTCATCCACCAGAAAATGAAGAAAAAATGCCACAAAAATGTGAATTAAGCTTTGTAGTTAAGAGCATTTCTGTAAGTACTGGGTCTCTTCGCTAATGCAACACAGCACTTTGGATGAGAGATTTCTTCTGTTGACCCTGTGTACTAGGATATAATTAGTGCAGAATACAGGTTGAATTGTGCTGGCTCAGAAATCTTCAAGAAATTATCACCATCTCACAAGACAGAGCTCTTGTGAGAGTCCCCTTTTAAGCTTTGGCATCAGCAGTGATTAGAGGGCATTTCTGTAATTACTGCCTGCAATCCAGCCCGTCAGAGGTTGTTGTATATTTAAAACTGCTGCCAGGTCTGTTTTAAGTTACACTGTGGTGGAAACAATTGTCTCATCCAAAATTTTGGTGAGGAAAATCTTTGCTCTCTGTTCTACTGAGCTCAACTTGTTCATTTAGTTGGTAAAGGGAGGTGGGGTAGGAGTAGTGAATGAGTTGTTCAATGTGGGAAACAGGCCACACACATGATTGTAGAAGGTACAACTTTCTTTTGAGTATTTTTTATACAAAGGTGATTTTATGCCTCATCTTTTGTGCCATCTTCTATTCAAGCAATCCTCTGTACTGTAACTTCTGTATAACCTGAGAATTACTCTTGTGCCAGATGTTTGTGGCCTTGAGATGCTTTTAAAGGATCTGTGAATTATTAGTAGGGAGAATGACCTAGGATTTCCTGTGCTGCATGCTGAAAAGTCAGTATGTACCTTCCTCTAGTCATTAGCATGAACGTCTTATATTTCATTAAAAGAATTTGCCTGTAGGTGTGGGCTTTGCTTTAGAGCAGATTAGGGAAGGTATATGCTCCCATGAGCTCTGGTAACAATAAGAATTACGTAGTAATTCATTTGCTGCCTCGCATTTCACACTTCAGTAGTCTCCAAGGTGATATACCCTTACGTTCTGGATGGAGGAACTAGGCACATTATCTTTTGTTGTGTATACTTGTTTAATTTCCTTTGTAAGCCTTGTGCTGGGCAGTCATTTGGTCCTTCCCAAGTGTGTCCAGCAGATGGTGCTCTTTCGCTGGGAATCTTGGTTTTTGTCGTTTCTGAATCCAGAGTGGAGTACTGGATAAAATAATGTTGAAGTTACAGCATTCTGAATTTGAAGGGGTTTATTATCTCGCCATAGGTCTGAGAATATCAGAGGTGCCCCATTCGTGTTTCAATGATCTAGGTCCTCTCCATTGTTCTGGGGAAGCTAATAACTGTTCTGAAATCAAGTAGTTCTGTTGTGGTATAGATTTCCCAAAACAAAAAACCTAAACCGGCTGAGATGTTTTGCATTGAATCGTAAAGTGCTGTACTGTGTAATTCATATTTATACTCTTTGCTGTACAAGACAGTTGTGTAGGTTCTGCTTTTTAACTAGACAACGTATCAGCATATCGTAAACTGCTTCAATACTTACTGTTGGACAACTTACCTTTTGATTGAGGAAAACCTGTATGCAAGCATAGGTGTGACAAATTCTGTTTTTCTTCTAGATTGTGTGAAAGTGTTTAGTGTAGTGTCACGAGTAGCATAACTATTCCCAAGTAAAGAAAGTTTTCAATTTTCATAATTTCATAGAATCACAGAATGGTTAGGGTTGGGAAGGACCTTAGAAATCATCTAGTTCCAACAACTGTGCCATGGGCAGGGATACCTTCCACTAGACCAGGTTGCTCCAAGCCCCGTCCAGCCTGGCCTTGAGCACTGCCAGAGATGGGGCATCCACAACTTCCCTGGGCAACCTGTTCCAGTGCCCCACCACCTTCACCGTGAAGAATTTGTTCCTAATATCTAAATCTACTTTCTTTCATCTTAAGGCCATTCACTCTTGTCCTATCCCTACAGGGCCTTGTCAAAAGGCCCACTTCAGATTTCTTGTAGGCTCCCTTCAGGTACTGGAAGCTGCTCTATGGTCTGTCTGGAGCCTCCTCTTCTCCAGGCTGAACAACCCCAACTCTCTCAGCCTACCTTCATAGGAGAGCTGCTCCAGCCCTCTCAACATCTGTGTTGCCTCCTCTGGACTTGCTACAACAGATTCACATCCTTCTTATGTCAGGGGCTCCAGAGCTGGATGCGGTACTGCAGGTGTGGTCTCACCAGAGTAGAGGAGATGGATCACCTCCCTCAACCTGCTGGTCACAATCCTTTTGATGGAGCCTGGCATACAGTTTACTTTCTGGGCTGCAAAACTGCTGACAGCACACTGTCAGCTCATGTGGAGCTTCTCATTAATGAACATCCCCAAGTCCTTCTCAGGGATGCTTTCAGTCCATTATCTGCCCTGCCTATAGCTGTACTTGGGATTGCCCTGACCCAGGTGTAGGACCTTGCACTTGGACTTCTTGAACTTCATGAGGTTTATGCTGGCCCACGTCTCCAGCCTGTCAGGGTCCCTGTCAGCATTGACAGCATGTCGAACACACCACGCAGCTTGGTGTTGTCACTAAACTTGCTGAGGGTACTTGATCCCACTGTCCATTTCACCAACAAAGATGTTAAACACTGCTGGTCCCAATACCAGCCCCTGAGGAACACCACTTGTCACTGGTCTCCATTTGGACATTGAGCTGTTGACTGTAACTTTTGAGTGTGACCGTCAAGCCAATTCCTTATCCATCAACTGATCCGTCCATCAAATCCATGTCTCTCCAGTTTACTAACAAGGATGTCATGCAGGACAGTGTCAAATGCTTTATGGAACTTTAGTTCTGTCCTGGATTTCCAAACAGAACTGTAGTTGCAGTATATACTTCGTGCTTGCATCAGTGAGTCTCAGGTGTGTGATTTTTTGCCCTCTGGAAAAAAACAAAGCAAAACAACGGACAACCTTTAGTATAGAAACACTTGTCTGGTAGAAAGTGTAAGTTTTATATAATCCTGTTCTCTCTGTTTCCTAATTTTAGATCACACCAGAGTATCTTCAAAGTGTTTGTGTTCGCTTGTTTAACAATCAGATGAGACAAAAGGTAGCACATAGTATTGACTTCACAAGGCCTGGAACTGTAAGTATTCATGTTTGGTTTTCTTACAGTAACTATCTCAAGAGACAATACAACTTAAACTGTACAATTGAACAACAGATGGGAGATAGTAAAGGCAAAATGTCATGTATCATGTGTCCAAGCTTGTTATAAGAATGTAGCGATGCAGAAGGCTTTGTTGATCTCAAATGCTGGTGAATGACATGGTTGTGCAGTCATAGCTGCATGAGTATGATTAATTCTGTTGTTATGATAACAGTAAGCTGTGTATCTGTTAAAATGCTAACTGAACGTTTGAAAAACCGAAACAAACCTGAAACTAATATCCTGAGTGTGGTTTGATGGCACATCTTAGCCAACTTAATAATTTAGCTAAAAACGAGTGGTGCTGTTGCTTAGCTCTGGACACATGCTCTATTCCTTTCTGCTGTCAGTGATGTTCTTATAACCTAGAGTGATTTGGCTTAGCCACCTAAAGGAGAAGCATCAGACAGGATCATGGGAACGTATGGGGAAGAGGAAGGGAAAACTTCCCTTATTTGTGAGAGCTAGTTGTTAGATGGTCATTTAGATGATACACCTAAGCCAACTTGTTGATTTACATGATGAGCTTTAATTCCATACCTAAGGATCTTTGATCTTACTGATAAGCAACTTAGGCTCCCTAGGTTTTTTTTCTTCTTACTTCACCAGCCTCTTATTCCTTTTCAGATGGCTGCAGTATACCGAGCTGCTTGTGCCTGTTAGTGTTCTGCTCAATCTCTTCTGCCTGAATGAAGAGGGAGCTTTTTGTCCCAGCAGCAGAACCATCTGAACCATCTTAGGATAGTTTCTAGTGTCTGTGAAACTGTGACTGGGGGTGTGAAATTTTAAATGATTTAATGGTAGTGTAAGAGCTGTTCAGTGGTACAACCATTTTTAATACCTAGTTTGTACAAATTTTTCAAATAAGCATTAACATTAAAACCGCATTAAAACCTTTTAATATTAAAATATTGTGTGTCAGTGCTTTACAAACCAAAGTCATGAACTGTGCTTATTATTTTTGCCACGGCAGACTTTAATGTATACATAACTTTGTAGAAGGAGAGCTTTGTGAAGTATCAAAGGAAAAGCAGAAGAAAATAAGATTCTTGCTCCTTATTCTAGCCAAGGTTTTTAATAACAATGATGCCATGGGTACATTTTGTTCCTCTTGAAAATTATTACAGAAATATGAGGAGATAATAAAAATGCTCCCTTTTTTATGTTCTAATATTTTCAGTGATAAATATTACTCCTCATTGCTGTTTAAGCTGTTTTAAATGCCCTCGCTTCCTTGTTAATGGCCAGATCTTCTTTCTCTGACCTGCCATGTATTTAGGAGGTGCACTCTTAGCAGCTATTGCAGGCTGCATATCCCAGGGTTTTGGGAAGCAACCAGGATCTCTGCTTATCTGCTACCTCAACCATAGGGGCTGCTTGTAACTCCTCTCTTCAGATTTACACCATGTTTGTAATGCATGGTTATGCCATCTCCCACCCTCTAATGTACCTTCTGCCCCATCTTTCTTCTGAACAACACTTTTCAGGAGTCTTCCCTCTTCCCCTGCCAATGGCTTTCTAAGGTAATGCTGTATGTATCCCAGTAGTCTTCTGTATTTTTGCCATCTGATGTTGCAGCTGTGTGTGTCTCCTAGCTCCCCTTCCCTGTACTGAGATCATTCATTCTGTGCAGCCACATTCCCTCTTCCATCTGTTCCTGCTCTCTGCTTGCATCAAGGTGTCTCATTTTCTCCTGTGATTTCAAGGTACTTCATTTGCCCACTCTTATTATTTCTTTTCTTTCTATCATAAGTTGATCCTCTGATCTCTTGAAGCCCTTTTGGGAAGGGGGCAGAGGAAAGA